CCCATAAAACCCAGAACAAGTAAGATCTTTGCAACAGAATTCTGTGCAGTAGAACACACCAAAAATAGTCTGTTAGAATTTATAATAAAACAACATATTTTTCAGACCTAAGCTAGATGGGAACAACTGCGAGACACATACAAAGTCCCACCAAAAACCTAGGCTTTATTCGCTCTCCAAAGGCTATGAGCAAAGTAATTAAGCTTAGTATTCTCTGTTGCCTCTGATACGGCTTCCAATATTTCTAATTGTAGAGACAATTCAATAGAATCAGAAATTTACCAGACTTCAAAGGATGTGGGATTTGACAACTTGTCTGTTTCCCATAGTCTGTAAGATTTCATGGGATACTGGAGTCACCGGTATAATGTTTTCTTGGCTGAGAACTAACTGAAACTGAGAACACTCCACACCAGTCCTGGCTTATTGCCCACTCTCACTGGGGACAACTACTTGGGGAGATCTGAAGCACTGAGAGATTCGCTAAATAAATGCACATATCTGTTCTTTTCATGTTGAATAGCCACAGAGAATTGTAAGATAATATGTTAAAGATAAAAAATCCTTCAGAGACTTCTCCTGGCCTTGAAGCTGCCTCCAGGAACATGAACATATCCTATGTAAGATGAAACTTGTTCAAAGGTTAAGCAAAATTTGTCAGATTTTCTGAAGTCAAAAAATAAAAAGACAAGAAAAATAACATCAGAATCCCACCTGCCTACAACAGTATGAGTTTTATGGCTCTTTTGTTTATCTATATGGAAGATCTGTTTTTGATCTTCCATTCATGCAACATGTCTAGGTTTCTCTCATAGTGCCTTGCCTGACACAAAGTGAGCGCCTACCCATGTCTCACAGGAGTGGTGATTCCTCAAGCTCTCACTCTATGGCCCCTCTCTATCAACTTCCAGTTAAAAGTTGTATACAGTATTTCCTCAACCCCAACACCTTCAGTATGTTGAAAGTAATTGTCCTCTGGTCTTAAACAACAGATGAGATTGTTCCAAGATCTCTCTAGTTCCATGGCTGAGAGACAAAAGCCAGTATTTGCATAGGATGCTAGGCCTGCTGAGTGTTTCTGGAGCACACATTTTCCTTTTATTTTTCAGTCATCTTGTGAGATAATTAGTTGTTTTAATAATAGTAATAGTCATTCTCCTATTATAATTGAGGAACTTGAGATTTAAGTATTAACTTAAGGTCACAGACAACTTCAAAGTCCAGGCCCTTTCTGGTTTCTACTAGATTGATAGCTTCCCTTGATCACATCATTTCTTACTCCATTATATCCCAAAATGGGAGATGAACTTACTGCTTCTCAGAGATCTCTAAATGGAAGAGGTCACAGGAGGATTGTGTAACTCACTAAAGTAAAAATTCTGAATTGCCTTTTTTGGGGGGAATAGAAAGAAAACAAGTATGGAAACTGGCTCTGCATAATTTTATTTGGGGGACAAGGCTGGGATTTCTCAGTTCTGTGTGTTGAGCCCACTCCTATGTGCTCTAAAGCCTGATGAGGCAAGCCTTTCTCTGGTGGGATGCAGCACTACAACTTTATGCAGCATGAGGCTCAAGAGAGCTATAGTTTTGAGTATCATAATTTAAAACTGTGGAAGTTGTATTTAAGTCTCTGAGGTAATCAAAATACTCCATATCACAGAAAATGATTCTAGACAGTACATAATTTTTCTGGATTTATCAATAAGAAAGTCCCCACCCCACAAAAAGAAAAAAAAAATCACCCAAGAACTTTGTAGTAGAATTAATCGTAAACTTATAAAACAGTCAAGAGATGGTGGCCTAAGTATGTACCACTGGATAAGCAGTTTTAAGACTAGGCGCTGTCACGCTTTGAAGTGGTTTAAATCAGAATTTTGGCAGAGGTCATATTGTGGCTCTTGGTAAATGTGAGTGAAACAGTCCCCTCTACATACCCAATTGAGGAATGTTATTAAGCTCCACATTGTGACTCAGCTGGGAGATACAGAAATTATTTAACTCACTAAGAGATTATCAAGTTTTCTTCAAGATTTTTTTTTTTATATACAGAACTGGGGTTCAGGCCAGAGGTGTGGGGGCAGTGAGAGGATTCACCAGAGACAGAGTCAGGAGTAGAAAAGGCAGATCAAAAAGGTACACTGCTGAGGGGAACAGCAGGTGGGTCAGGAGAGGTCTGCTGCGCCATGCAGGTCACTTCCGGGGTGGAGGATTGAACTTGCACTGAGCGGCTGTGGCCAGCTTGCAGTGCTGTGTCCTAACCCACTGAGCCACCAGGGAAGGCCTTTCTTCAAGATTCTTAATCCATAGCAAATTGGCTGAAAAAATACTTGAGATAGAAGCCAACTTGATATTTTTTACATTTTTATCTTCAAATTAACAGATTTTGACTTGGCAGAAGCTTAGCCTAGCATTATCTAAGAAAAGAAAAATCAACAGTATTGACAAATGTATAATTACACAGTACTGATGCCTAATCAGCATAAAATAATCCTCTCTAGGGAGGAACTGGAATTTCATGAGTGATTAGGTTGAAACATGTCTGCAGACTATGACTTACAGATCTCTACAGGAAAAAATGAGTAAGAGGGAAGGTTATAACGTAGTTCTTAGATATGTAATACTTTATGCCAAGCATAGTTTTGAGCCAATCTTTGTGCTTCAGATATTCCACAGATGAAAATGCTATGCTATGACTACATCATAGATCTTCTAATCATTTTATAAGTCCTTAATTTAAAACCTAAGAGTTGAACTTCAAAGAATATTAGGGCTTATAAAGAATGAAAAGCATATTGAAGTAGAAATGACTCAAGATAAGACACTGACAGATGCTATTGAAACGGTTTTCAGACATTAAGAGGCTTGAATTTTTCTTTAAACCTTGTTTTCATCCTTTCATAAATTATTCTTATAGCTTAAGTATCCCTTCTTGCTGTATGATTTCTCTGGTCTTTTGTGAGGCGATTGTGACAACCACAGTTAATATGAAAATGCTGCTCTCTCGTTTCTTGAACCCTATCCAGTCTCTCAGCAGAAAACTATGTTGATCTTCTTTGCAACACAGGAATTCTTTTTTACTAAAACAGAATTCTGTACATTCCTGAAGGTATTTTTAAAGGATCGATCAGCTACCTTAATATGGAGAACCTACTGCATTCTAAATATTTGAACAGAATATAAAAAGCAAGTAAAGATGCACTGTTTCACTGCATCCTTACTGAAAAATCTGTCAATTCTCCAAGGTGAGACTGCAAACCACTAATTCTGACCTTCAAAGCTTGATTTCCCTATGCACCATACTGAGTGTGCCCCTTATCCTTGATTACCTTTGGTGACAGGGAACTCACTATCTTCTGACAAATTGTTCTTCCAAGTTTTAATATCTTTCAGTTGCCAAAGAAGAGCGATTCAGAGTTAGTCACAACAAAGGAATTCTGGTATTGTATTTTAAGTAGTCAATCAGTTGAAACAGACAAATTCTGCAAGAGGTTACAGGAAAGAGCTAGGATTAAGTAACCAATATCTTTTAATTTTTCTCCAAATACTACACAAATGTACAATTTCCATTATTATGGGTGCCACATGCAAATGCCAATAATAGTTAACATTTGTTAAGTACTTACTATGTATCAAGCACTAATCAGTGTATTATACCATCTCTCAAAAAACAGTGCATATGTATTTGTAGCTAGATATAGAATTTACTTTAACACCAAGCCATATCATATGTGTGTGTATTTAATTTCATGTAATTGTATAATCATCCTTTGACATGGGTGTTAGCACTGTTATTTCACCCAAGGAAGTACTATGGCCCAGAGTTTCTGTAACCTACAGCAGCAGTGCCAGACTTCCAGCTAACTTTATTCTGTCTCATACTACAGTCTTACTATGCTACTTCTTACTATGCTGAAGAGCCTCTCCTGGTAACTTTCCTCTTCAAATAACTTGCTAACGAAAACAATTGACTGATTTGTTGTCTCCAGTCTTCCTCAGAGCTAAAATGAGAAGCAATTAGCACAGTCCATGTAGTGGAAGGGAGGAAGCCCATGGGTGATTTTACTTTTGGAGTCATGAACTGATCTAATAGGTCATGAGTTCTGAAAGGGAGTGCAGTGGACATTCATTCATAAATAACCTTGCCAGTAACTCACTAGAATGACTAAAAATGTAATAAACAAAATTAAAGTAAACTATTATTTCCTGAGATCATTAATTTCATGCTCTTAGAATTTAAACATCTTCATAATGAAATAAAATCTCTAGTAAGGTTAAGCACATGATGATGGTTATAATTCTTTCTTGGGGAGGGACTTTTCTTTTGAGGACAGTGTTAGCATTATCTTGATTGGTCACTGTTTCTAATTTCTACTGATCTGTATTTTTATACTTACTGTTAGGTGTACTTCGTGGATTACTCTGTTTCTATATAACTGCTAAGTTATAAGCTTTTGACTTATTTTCTGAAGTGATTTTGCTTATCACTGAGTTCTTTTCATATAAAGTAGGAATGAAAATTAAGCACTACTAAGAAAGATGACTTGTCAGTGGTTTTCAGAACTTTTCCATTCCTAGATCTCAGGTAAATATACTCTCTCTTCAGAAAGATGCTAAATGGTAAATACTGTTTTCCCTAATTTGAAGAAATAGAGACTGAAGCTCAGAAAGTTTTAAGTGTCTTGCTAAGGTTTCAAAGCTATTAAGTGGCAAAAAAGAAATTAAGATCAGGTCTGCTTAATTCCAAAAATGACTCTTCACTACATGACATTGTAACTCCAGAGTGTTTGTCATCTTATTTCACCTCTAGATTTCTTTTGAGGTAAGTAAATTTGGGATAATAATGACTTCCTGTTTTTTTTGTAAGAAGATGTAACACTTTCAGGGACCGAAATGAATGGTATGGGTAAAACAGCTTTAGATAAACACTACATTTGAATAAAGACTAGGAAAAAGAGGGGAGTGGGGTGGACAACAAACTTTGAGCTTGCACTATCTTACAGGCTTTCTGCAAAGGCTCCCTGATCTTGGAGCACCTGGATGTCTCTTATTGCTTCCAGTTGTCAGATGAAAGCATTAAAGCACTGTCCATTTACTGTGTTAACCTCACCTCTCTCAGCATTGCTGGCTGTCCAAAGGTATGTGCAGGTGTTGGAGTTCAGACATAGCAAATGGAAGTATGGCCAGAAAACACGTGTAGGGCAGCAGTCAGGAACTGGACTCTCAGAACTTTGTCGGGTGTGAGGCACTCATTAGGGTTGTTCTCTTGCCCCAACTTGGAAATAAATTTATGATTTCATTTGTGTAAAAGTAAAATTTGAAAAGTTAAAAATAGTTCTCATACAAATATAAAAATGAGTCAAAGCTTCCTTAATTCATTGTCAAATAACTAGCAAAAATGATTAAGTCAGTTCATAAAGCATTTGATCGAACTGACTAAAGAAAGACTGTTGAAATGATTGTTAGGTTAGACCCAAAATTGGCTAATTCCTACAAGGTAATAAATCCATAAACTAAGGCTATCACAGCTTCCATATAGAAGTGACTTGAATTTCTTCTGGAGAAAATGCAAAAGTTAGAGAAAGAAAAATACTGGATGGTTTCACTCATAGCAGGAGTATAATGGACCAGGCGAGAAAATAACAAAAATAATGAACAACCATATACCAGAGACATTTTGTGGGGGTGGAGTGGGGAATGGGATCAAAAACGGGGAGGGAAGTGCATGGGATTATGGTGATGGCACACGGGTGACTTGGTAATGGGAAACCTGTGGGGATTACAATTGAGATGGGAAAACAAATGTACAAAATGATGTAAAAATAAACTTTTGTAAAATAAAAAATGTATATATCTATAAAAAAGAAAATGCAAAAGTTAACATCTAACTTTAGTCACTAAGTCAGTTAGTTATAAAGAGTAAGCCAAAGGCATAATTCCCTACAAATTTCCTCAGGTGGGCCTGAGTTAAACAGTATTCTGGTGTAATACTGAAAGCACACACAATCATCTTTTGTATGCATTTTTCTGTCTATATTATTGTAAATACTGTTTTCAAGGGTTTGGTTATTTTTCTTGATAGATGTTTATAAAGAAACATGTACTCACTATAAAAAGTTTGGACTACACACAGAAGCATAAAGAAGAAAGTAAAAATCTATTGCCATACCATCATCCAGCTGTAACCATCACTGGAATTTATATATATTTTTCAAGAATATTTTTCTCTGTATGAAGAGCGTACACAGCTATAAGGTTTACGTTTTGTTTTGGAGACAAATACATACTTTCTAAAATATATCATACTTTCTAAAATATATCATAAACCCTTTCTCTTAATTTACTACAGACATTTCTCCATATAGAGAGAGAGCTCTCTGGCTCTGGATTAATATGGCATGTTCAATATCCACATACAACTCTGCTTCCTCTTTAAACCACACAAAAACTTGTGAGGAAGAGTAAGGGCCCACACCAATAAAGGAAACAAGAAGGAAGACAAGTAACAAAATTGAAAGCTAGATCATTAACTCATTTGGCAGCCCAGAACCAGCTTTGAATGCTGAGTTGGCAGTGACTGACATTATAATCTTCAAACTTGGCAGCATTGAGTACAGCTACAACTGGGTTAGGCAGTGGCTAAATTAAGGAAGACGAGGTTAAAACTTTTTGAGAAGTATATAAATCTCTAGATCTTCTCCCTATTGCACACCTCTAGGCAATTGTCTCTCTCCACCCTCACATAAAGACTGGAGATTTATTTCCTAGAGTCAGATTTCTTATTAGTGTTAGTGATATTTTGAACAAAATCATTCTTGTCATGGGGGCCTATTCTGTGCACTGTAGGATGCAAATCCCACAGTGTAGCAAATCTTTATCCTCTACCCACCACCTGTTGGTAGAACCAGCTGGCAACCCCTCAAGTCATGACAACAGACTTTGCTAAATATTATCTTGAAGGCAAAATCATACTATTAGCTATTCTGCAGAGGGAAAACAGAAGGTTACGGGGTCTGGGAAACATGATATATAACTGAGGACTTGGGTACAAATGTCAAAATAGGAATTAAGTGGCTGAATGCAGAATCCTAAGACTCAAGTACTTTTACAACACAGCATCCAAAATTTGGCTACCAGATCTTTCCCTCCAGGCAGGAGATTAGGAGCCTCTTTTCTGGAAACATTGACTAGCTACCACAATGACAAAGACTGAAAAATACTGACACAAGTTTCCTAACAGATAGCTCATCTAGATCATTGGGGCAGAAAGTAGAGTAGATTCGCATCTTATACTCAGTCCTTCTGATCAGTTTTGAGCAAGTAGTTAAGACTTACTGGACATAAGAGAAACACACTAAAGTGTAAGATAAAAACCAAACAGGGAAAAACTTGGAAGCAAAATACACAGAAGGAAAAAAATTAAAATATCTTTAAAAAATCCTCAGAATGCTAACAATGGGTTTCTATTTACCAAAGCATCACCAGAAATGTAGAGATGGCCCGCATTCTAGCTAGTCTAAAACTCAGCTTCTTTTGTTTAGTTAGTTGTGTGGGGAATGGATTAAGGGAGTATGTTAGTACCTCTAGTTCCTCCATAGTTAATTGTGCCACAATAAAGAGGAGAAAGCTGCAGGGGATGGGGGAGATATGGCAAATTGAGGCAAAATTAAGCCAGATAATTTACAACAAAATTTCTTTTGTTTATTATGTGCTTGTTTAGAACTAAAGAAGTCAGATATCTTCTTGGTCAGCATCAATCTGGTTCTAGAAGTGAGCTGGGTCATGGAACTCAGCACACTAGCAGCAATGGCAGGGAGCGATGCAGCTTGAACAGTCTTAGCTCACAGGGCTCTTGCTTTCATTGCACATGGACACATGGGCAACACATGGCTCACTGGGAAGTGCCCCCTACATGGCAGGCACAAATGGAGACTGGCTTTTTTAACGGCTCTACTAATTAGGAAGGGAAGAAGGGGAATGTAAAAAAGGAGACTCCAGGGAGAGCAGGAATTGCGGCAAAGAGTTTTGTTTTGTTTTATTTTGTATTTTTGTTTCCTTGGTAAGAAGAAACTGAGAGATTCTTCTAAGACTGTGTAATGGATAAGACCATGTTCTAGAAACTAGAGCCTATCACACAGATATCATTAAATTAATCATTTTACATCAAAGATACTAGGTGAGATCAAGAAAAGGGAGTGGATTATTTTAGAATCTCTCTATATAAGGAGAATAGGGTTTAGCTTTACCATTTCTGTGGATGAGATGAATATTCTACTATAGAAGATGTGGATAATCTGAATGCTCTTTCCTCAGAATCATTAGACAGTAGTTCAGTCTAATATAATCCACCAGAAGATGTGGTATATTTTATGATGGAATACTACTAAGCAACGAAAATGAAATATTGACATTTGTAACAACATGCATGGAACTGGAGGGGATTATGCTAAATAACATAAGGGAGAAAGACAAATACCAGGTGATTTCATTAATGTGTGTAGTATAAAAAAGCAAAATAAAGGTGCAGACCAAACTAAATCAAAACAAACACCTAGAAATCTAACCTCAGAATTGAAGTAACAGAAGGGGAGGATAGGGGTTGAGCCACAGGGCGGAGGGGGGAGGGAGTTGCCAATGGAATACAGAGGAAGATTATTGGTGCTTTAGTGGATTATTTGTGCTTTGGTAATGGCTGTGGTGTGGTCACACACATCTAAAGAAATGTTAGCCTGTATTCTTAAATATACAGTTTTGTAAAGCAATGTTACCACAATAAAAATACCAGAAATAGAGAGAGAGATAATTCCCCCTCACTCCCCACTTAATTTTCTTTTGATGAGCCATAAAACACATTATTCTGGTTCATCACCTTAGGCTAGATTTTGCAAAACCCAAAGGGTAATCTTTAATAGTCACCTTATTTATTTCCTGGATGGTCAGCTCTTCTTTACAACCACCAAAGTCAAGTTAAGTAGTATGTGCCTTCATCCTATCCAGCAGTAAAATGCAAGCAAGATAATCCCTGCTCAATAGCAATGAGTTCAGGACATTACAAACTTGGGAGTGAAGAATATAGTTAGTCATCTCTACCTGCAGTTCTCTGCCTCTGTAAGTCCCAACATAACCTTGTCATTGAACACACAGGAAATGTGAAACTTCTTTCCATTTCCCAGTATCAGTAAGACCTAACACTCTGAACTACACTTGTCCTGGACTTTTCCATCACCTCATCCTTTCTCTACAGTTGTGTATTGTCCCCTCTCCCCCAATAACATCATGTCCTCAGAGGCCAACATAGCAGGAATGTCTAAAGGTGTTTTTGTGAGGCTTATTTGCTATACTAAACCTTTTTCTTTAGCATGTTCTGGAAACAGGGCTTAAACAATGACAACATCTATTTTTTTTTAAACTTAAAAATGTCCATTTCAAATTGAAGGGGTTTTCTGCATAACACTCTCAATTTTATATTACAAACAATAGCCAAGCCTTATGACCTATGTTTTCTAGAATGTTCAGACATTTAAAATAAGAAATTGAATCCAGTTGGAAAAAAATAGCCCTTTGGGGAGAGTAATCTAGTTGATTCTTCACGAAGTTGCATGTCAGCTATAAACTCAAAAGCTACACTAAGTGGAATGATCTAATGAGTAGAGTTGAATTACCACTGCATAACATCTGGATAAACTCTAAAGTTATTGGAACCCTCGGCAGAATTTCTCAAGAGTGAGATTCATGTAGTCTTTGTGGTGTCTGCTCTTCTTTCGTCCCTGCCTACAAACATCTGTCTCACCTAACTGACCCTTTTTTAGAACCATGTTACTCCACACAAGCCATCAGAAACACCCAGATCCCTTCCCATAGTAATCTTATACTTTCTGCAGGTTAATCTGAGGGGATGTCTATGTCATTTTTTAACAATGTGAAGTTACTAAACCTGTTTTCAAATTAATGATACCTCAAGGTACAGTTCAAGTTTAAAGCTAAATCCCATTACTGCAGCATCTTATAAATTGCTCATGCTAGTGTGACCTGGCATTCTAAGGAATTTTTAATGAATTTCTTCATCTAAACCAGAAAACTCTAAAATAACAGCAAGATCACTAGTAGTGGTGCCACTTTAAACATAGTATTTTGACCATAATATTAAGACCTTATTTGGAAACAGAGATAAATCACTAACTTGAGACAGAGAACAGACTCATCGTGTGACAAGATGGTTAAAGAGAATCTACAAGGGTTCTGATTCTGTTAGTTATGGAATGAATGTTTGTGTCCTCTGCAAGTTCATCTATTGAAATCTTAGCCCCCAATGTGATAGTATTAGGAGATGGGGCTTTGGAAAGGTAAGTAGATTCAGATGAAGTCAGGAAGGAGTCCCCATTGGAAAATCAGGGTCTGTATAGGAATAATGTGAAGTTAGTGTGTTCTCTGTCATGGAAGGGTATGCAAGAAGGTGACCCTCTGCCAACCAGGAAGAGGACCATCACCAGACACTGAATCTGTGAGCACCTTGACCTTGGGCTTCTACCCTCTAGAACTATGAGAAATGTTTGTTGTTTAAGCCACTCAGTCTAAGAATTTTTGTTAGAGCAGCCCAAACTGACTAGTATACTGTTCCTCCCTGAGATAGCATTTGTTAGGACAATCAGTACTTACTTTGGCTGTGTGTTCAGATTACTGATTCAGCGATGGAGATGTTAACAGCAAAATGTCACTATCTACACATTTTGGATATTTCTGGTTGTATCCTGTTTACTGACCAAATGCTTGAGAACCTTCAGATGGGCTGCAAACAACTTCGTATCCTTAAGATGCAATACTGCAGACTCATTTCCAAGTAAGTATATATCTGAATTGGAAAGCTTTGAAAACTACTTTTAGAGAAAACAGGATATATGAGTGTTATCTGTAATTCATAGTTACTTTTAGAAACAGGATGACTCATTTTATTTTTTGCCTAATTGGTTCAGCCATCATTTTGAGCTGAACCAAGGTATATACTACAAAAATGGTTAGTGATTTAATATCCCTTTCCCAGAAGTCCTTCCACTTTAAGTACTTTTCCTTCATTTTAATGCAGGTGTCCAAAGTCTTACTCTTTTCTAGTTCATCCTCTATTCATGTTTCAAAACATTTCCATTTAATTAATCTCTAGGTAAAGGAATTGGATTAAATCAGCTCACAAAGTATAAATTATCAACACTTATCCTAAATTCCATCTCTCCCAAATCTTGATAGCTATTACTGATTTAACAAGAGATTTCCTATTAGTTCTAGGGTTCAGAGTAAGATTATTTCACCTAGAACACTACAGGTTATATTCTTGTTCCCTCAATTTGCAAAATATTTCAAATAAAAGATAGAGGTAAATTGGCAGTCTATCGAGGTAGAGGCCTCTGATGTCCACCTTGTGAATTTTTAAATAGAAAGCAGTTGTCTGCTCTATGATTCAGGTTTCCTTTTCCTATTTAATGAGAGTTAAAATATGTATTTTAACTTACCTTATGAAGTCTGAAGTATTTATCGCTAGCTCCTTCCCTTCTCATTTGTGGGTGTTCAATAAGAGAATTCTTGGCCAATCCCTGAAGGTCAGGTTCTTTTCTGCAGGTTGGAAAAATCAACACCAAGTATTAATGTTATCAATGTATAAAGTGCATAGGTAGGCTGAGCAAATAGATTTCACAGATGAGATTTCTTAATTAAGCAAAGTGGCATCTACTTAATTAAGATTTCTTAATTAAGCAAAGTGGCATCTGGCTGGTTATGGGAGGCATGAGGAGAAATGATTTCTAAGCCAAGCTGTGTGTGAAAATTACGTGAAATAAAACTATTAGTTAAAAAATAAGCACTCCCACTGAGCCCGTGCATTTAGGGGGAAGGCAGCCTACTGATGCTGGATCAGAGAAAGGGGACAGGTCCTTGAAATATTTTGAAGAGAAGTGCTGATTCGATTGTTCCTGAGAGGTCTGGATGGTATGAGTATTATTAACTTCATTTAAAGAGGATATTATGAAATAAGGTTCTAGGATTTTCTGCCAACTCTGTTATATCTTAAACATGTTAATCAAAGGAGTACAGCTTTAAATCATTTGATTGTAGTTAGGCAGTCACTACTTTGGGATGGAAATATGATTAAACTTCTATCAAGTGGGATTTACTAAGTACAAAGAATGGAGACATCTGGCAATGACCTCTGAACTTAGTAATTGTGTGGGCTATTAAAAGTGTGATTAATATGGCATTTGGTCAAGTAGATTCAAGATCTCTAGTAATATCCAAGTCCTGCCTTTAACCACTCACTTCCTTTTTAACTCATTAAATACAAAATATGCTAAGAAAATAAAGTTAAGCAAAGTAAGATTTTATTACTAGTTGGCATTGGTCCACAAAGCATAAATGTAAAATTCTAGTTAAGTAATCAAGTTCATGGAAAATTCCTTTATTTAAGCTAGCATTACAAAAGTACCTATTTTGTTGTCTACCATTAAGCCTGGATTTCCCTATCAGCAAGAAACAGTCTTGGCACTAAACCTAAAAGGATTCTGGTTTTTATGCATGTCTCATTGTATAAAGACAAACCATCTTAGTCTTCCTTACAGCTCTCATCCTGCTAAGTTCCAGCAGGAAAGAAGCACAGAAACCTCTCATTTTAACGTTGTCCAGAGAAGTGGTAAGGACTGGTCACTGCAGCTGACGGGAACTGGAAAGGCTACAGACAGCTGACCAGACATCTGGCAGGTCTTAATCCATAGGTCACAGATCCTTGTTCAATACATGGGTGAACTTTAGGGAATCCACGAACTCCCTGAAAATAGTTTTGGATCTAATTGTTTGTGTGAGAACAAGTTTGTGACTTTCATCCAATTTTCAAAAGTGTTTGTTATTGACCAAAATGTTGTTATTGATTCTTTTGGAAGGAATGGGAGAGAAAAAAGCCAGCAAAAGAAGGCATCAGGAAGAGCATGTTTAGCTTGAAAACAATAACATTTCAAAGGCAGAAGAGTTTTCCTAGGAAATTGGTTTAAATCAGGAGACCTGTGCTAACAAAAAAATGGTAGCTTTTGTAGTATCAGAAATTAACTATGATTGGGACAAAAAGAGGCTATGTGGCCTACTGTAACAATGAGACATGGGATTGTTAATTGCAGTAACTGAAAACTGAGTGACTGACATGGAAGGTGGCATTACCATACATTTAGGGCTAAACTGTTCAATATCTATGAGTTGAGATAAGGCAATAAACTTGGGAGATGGAGGAGCAAAAATTCATCCATTAAACTGCTGTTTCATTTGAATCAAATCTTAGATGTATTAAAATAATTGTAAACAAACACAAGAAGGATACTAACAAAGCATTGCTATTTTAGTCTCTTACCACACTGCTTTTTGGCTTGTATATTTGTGACCTTACACAAGTTTGAAGAAGTAAAAGCGATTTTTAAATTATATATATGTATGTATGTATTTTATATTATTCTTCATTTTGTACATTTTTTCATCTCAGCTGTAATCCCTGTGGACTTCCCACTTCAACCATGTTTCACCACCACAGTCCAAAGGGAACAAGATAAAAGCAATTTTTATACTAATTTTTAGTTTTAAACCACCAGTCTTATGGATTAACTTAAAAACAAGCATCTTCTCTTTAGAAAAATACTTATTTTCAAAGATGAAATGAAATGTTATAGTCAAAGATAAGATTTTGCATTCTATTAAAAAAAGAGTATTATATCTTTTGCTTTCTCTACTTTGTTATCCTTAAGGGGCGACCCCCCCCCTCTTTTTTAATTCTTTGGAATTGAGATTGCCTTGACCTTGAAGGTGTTTTCTGTGAGACTGTTTGCCCTTGAGGACTAACCACAACATAACTCCAAACATTAGAGGAATCTGAAAGTGTAAACATTAGCCCCATTGGGTTCATATGAGTAAAACATTTTCCTAGGCCACAGAAATCTACTGTTTCTTTACCCTGCATCCTATCTCTGCCTGTGGAAACTTCATCCATCTTTCAAAACTCCAAACCAACCCAACATCTTTTGTGAAGCCCCAAACTCAACACCGTCTTCCTCTGAATTTCTGAATTTACAGAATCCAATACATAGATTTTAACATTGCTTATCATTTTAAACTTTGCTATGCTCCTTTTGTAACATATTCTTATCCAAGGATATGTTACATGTCTTTGTACTACCTGAGGCCCAGTATTAACAGTCAAAACAAGAGAGTTCATTCAACAGCTTACACCAAGGGAAGTCCTTTAGCTCTGTCTCGTCTGCTGATTTATTGATTTAGAGGAGGCCCTCTTAGGTTCCTATTTCCAACACCCTCTGGCCCCTCTTCTGCCTCCTCCCAGCAGAGCTCTGGACACATATACTATAATTCACAATTGTTGGCAATGATTCAATGCAACTGATGATAACCAGACTTCTGCAGAAAGAGGCAACAATAATCTTGACCTACAGGAAAAGGACATGTCTGCTTTGTGAAATAAAATATTTTAAATAGTTGACTAAATATATATCTAAACTTTGGCCTCAGAAGAACCATCATTTTGAAGAATTCTAGATAACTAGGTACTCTTAGTAATGCCAAGTCTGGGAATACATAAATATTAGGTCATATAATTCCTCACTCAGCAATCAGCCAGGGCAAAGTAGTAATATTTAAGACATGAAAACAATTAGCAAATAATGGGAATTTGAGAAGATTAAAAAAAAAAAAAGGTTGAGCATTTTGAATCCTTAATATAGATAAGGTTTGTTAGGATACTCTTAACAAAGAAACAGAAACTCAACACCCCTCAATGTGCCCCCACTCCAAGGCCATGAATCGTTAAACTTGCCCACTCACCGTGTCTACTTATCTTTGAACCAGTAGAGTAAGAAAGTTTAGGATCCTGATTATTACCACAATTACCCCCACCCACCTCCTAAATAAGTCCAAAGAGCTGTGAGGTGAATTCAAATTGTGACAGTGAGTTCTTGGATGCCAAATTTGATCTACTTTGAAAATTTAGTATAGTGATTACTTTTCTAACCGGCTAATGCAAATCACTGTCATTACAGGGAGGCAGCTAAAAAAATGTCATCTATTGTTCAGCTGCAAGAATATAATCCCAATGACCCTCCACCATGGTTTGGCTATGATTTTGAAGGTAAACCTCTCACACAAAAAAATAAAACACTACAAAAAGAAGATTTAACATCAACAGTGAAAACGCCAAAAGAAGGAGAAACTAGTATGGTCCTCAGCCTCTAGTAGGAAGAACAAAGACACTCTAGAATTTGGCAACTTCATTTGCTGGAAATGTCTTTAATGGTTGAAGCTCAGTAATAACAAGCAACAAATATTCTGATTCTCTTTCCAACTACAAATGTTTCTAAATATATTAATTAGCTCTGTTGTCTAATAATCATGATTTCTTGGGGGGGGGGAGGCAAATCAAGGACTGCTATTATGTAAATTCTCCACATTAATTTGCCTTAATCAAACCAATAGTTTTGATGAGATTATCAAATCTAAGGTTAGTTATATAAAACCACCGAGGTGATGTTTTTGACAAGGAATTTAGAAGTCTATCTTTGGAAAAGAAAAAGCAAGGATGGGCACAGATTTCAAGGATCTAGGAGGCTTTAATATAATAAACACAAACATATATTATTTTAATGGAAACAAGATTTTCTTGTGATTTTTAGATTATTTTACCACAAAAGAGAATTAAATGCCAATTAGCCACATACTCGATTTATTTTATTTTACAAAATAAATTGAAATAGGAACTATCCAGGAATAGAATGGATATCCATGCAAAGTCTCAGAAATACCTTTTCAATCAAATTTGCACTATTGAGGAATTTTTCAACAGTGTAGTGCCAAAAAAGATGCTCCCCCAATTTTATGCAAGGAGATATGGCTTAGTAGCTGCACATCCACATATTAATTTTCATTAAGCTGTCACTTCAAGGAGTGTTACATTCTGAAAGAAGATAGTAACTTAAAAAATCAAAAGATAAAATCTTTTGATTTTAAGAAATCAAGTAATCACTCAGCAGTGTACCAACTGATATTGAGAGAAAAAAAAAAGTACAACTCTGTTCTGACTGCCACAAACAAGCTGTCTATACTGACAGTCATTAACTTTTCTATTTCCCACATTTTACTTATTTCTAAATCTGGCTAAACAGTGTCTTTTTTGTACCGCACAAATTTTAAGTAATTATAAAGCTTAAGGGATATAAAAGTTACTTTGAAAGTCTGAAAGGGCTATACAGATTATAGAGTATAATATTTACTCAGTGCTTTTAATAATTCTCCCTTTCTTAGGCTGATTTTGAAAGTTTTCAAAATAAGGGAGTATCACACTGCTGTGGAGTAATTCCTAAAAATAGGAAGCACAGGAATCAGCTAAACAGGAGGATCTAAAACCTGAGTAAAGACATGATGACTAGTCTACAGGATGACTTTAAACTAAATCTGGAGATTTCTGATAGTTGCACAGAAGTTGGCTCTGACTCCTGAATGTCTGGTGTCTCAGAATCTAGTGCATACAACTGGAGAAGTCTTGATAAGAGATGCAACTGCTTTCTAGTTAAATCATGGCAAGACCAGAATTAGGAGAAACATGTCCTGTTATGTTCTCTAGAAACAAAGCAGGGTATTTTACTGTCAAAACTTGCTCCAAAATTCTTTAAGATCCTCTTTTAAACAGACCAGAAGACATTTGTTTATTATTGACACAAATTTCATAGCTATAGAAATGGAAGACAAGCTTGTTAGGTAAAGTGGGCTGCTATGAAAAGGCACCAGGTTGGGTGAACAGGTGGCAAAACTTCTAAGTTCTCAGTGAAAAGTATTCAAGGTGCATTCAAGGTGTCATTAACTCATAAGCATTTGATATATATGATGAGCCTATGTTCCAGAAAACAAAACACAGCAAGCCTTTTCTTTCTAGTTTGGGCCTAATTGTGCAATGTGTACAATTCCTTTAATATAGTTTAAATGTAGTTGACTGCTGTCATGCCAGTGACTTTTCCAGATGCACGAGGAGAAAAAAAAAATTACAAAATTGCCTTAGTTTCCTCTACTTAACAGTTCATACACACACACACCATAACCCCAGCAAACATACTAATGTTATTAATGGAAACTTGTACAAATTCTGATTTCATGAGAGTTCAACTAAAATAATCCCACAAAGATGATCACTTGATTCATAAATAAGAAACAAAAACAGCACTACAAACAAACTACTAAAAAAAAGACATTATTGTAAACCAAAATATTTGGAAAGGCTTATTACTAGGGCTCATTGTTTAGAAAGTGACTTATTCACACTAAACAGTTTAATGCAGGCCATCCCTGTAAGAAAATGGGAATATAATTCTTTGAATGCTTGAATTTTTGAATTGTTAGCGTTGTGCTGTATGATAATAGAAAAGCCCAGGAACTCACTTTAAAAGTAGTACTAACATTTTAATTATCTATTTATTTATGCACCATCCCTAATAGTATTATGAATTAATTCTTAGTCTTTCTTTTCATTTTTTACATCATTCTTCATTTTGTACATTTTTTCATCTCAGAATCCCATGGACTTTCCACCACCAATTCACCTGTATGCTATCATCTAGTCCTTTGCACTCTTCCCACCCCATCCAGTTTTGATCCTATTCCCCTTTCCACCCCTGTAAAATGTCTCTGGTTTATAGTTGTTCATTGTTTTTAATTTTCTCTTTATTCCAATTGTTTCTCCACCCTCCACCTCCCACCCCCTGGTTCCTTATGCTCCTGCTATGAATGAAACCATTGGGTATTTTTCTTTGTTTTTGGCTTATTTCACTAAGCATGATCCCTTCCAGCTCCTGATCCCTTCCAGCTCCATCCATGTTGCTGCAAAAGGCCTGAGCTTATCTTTTTTGATTGCTGAGTTAATATTCCATTGTGTATATGTACCACATATTTTTAATCCATCATATATTTTTGGGCATTTGAGTTGATTACACATCTTCCCTATTGTAAATAGAGCAGCAATTAACATAGGGGTGCAAGTGTCCTTTTGAGTCAATGTTAAACATTATTTTAAGGTCAAAAATGTTCTTTAAAGCAAAGTAAAAACAACCCAGCCAAAACATGGACATAAGAACTAAAAAGACACTTTTTGGAAAAGCCAAAGAAGAAATGCAAATGGTCAACAGGTATATGAAAAAATGTTCACCAAAATCTGTAATCAGGGAAATGCAAATCAAAACCACAATGAGATTCCATTTTATACCAGTGAGAACGGCACATGTTAAAAAACTAGCATCAACAGGGCCCTCCCTGGTGGCGCAGCGGGTTAAAGCACTGCACTGAAAAACTAAAGCCACCTCCGCATGAGTTCGATTCCCGCCTGACCCGGAGGTGACCACATGGCGAGGCAGACCTCTCCTGGCCCGCCCGCTGCTCCCCTCAGCAGTGTACTTCGTCGATCTGCCTGTTCTGCTCCCCACTCTGTCTCTGGTGAATCCTCTCACCCTCCGCATCTCTGGCCTGTGCCCCAGTTCTGTACGAATAAATAAATAAATCTTTAAAAAAAAAAAAAAAACTAGCATCAACAAATATTGGTGAGGATGTAGAGAAAAAGGAACTATCCTACACTGCTGGTGGAAATACAAACAGGTCCAACCACTATGGAAAGCTGTGTGGAAGTTCCTTAAACTACAAAAAAAAAAAAAAAATGGAGCTTCCATTGATCCAGCAATTCCACTAGGGATCTACCCAAAGTCCACAAAAACATTAATTCAAATGAAACCTGCATCCGTATTTTTATTGCAGCACAATTTACAATAGATAAGCTATGAAAACAACCCAAATGCCCAAAATATGATGACTGGTATATTTACACAGTGGAATACTACACAGCAACCAAAAGGGGTAAAGTCATGCCCCTTGCAGCAACATGGATGGAGCTGACAGGGATTATGCTCAGTGAGATAAGCCAGAAAGAATAATATCAAATGGTCTCACTTGTAGAAAGAATGTAGAGGAATCAAATAAGAGATCAGGGGGGAAAATAACTATAATAAAGTAAAAAATTAAAATCATCAGGAAGCAGTAGATCAGAGACATTATGTAGGTGGTAGGGGAAGAAGGATCAGGACAGGAGCAAGAACTATGCAAGAAGAACTATGGTAGTGTACATGGCTGAATGGTGATGGGAATTTCATGGAGAAATCATACACTGTACAAAAATGAAGGATGACACAATA